CATCGTCTCCACTCACCCTGGCGCTGATGGAACAGTTCGAGTCGTCACAGTGAAGACAGCTTCTGGGACTTTCACACGGCCTGTTCACAAGGTCTTCCCTCTGCCATGCAATGAAGACTAAGTCCAAGAAACCTACTCTATGTACATATTAGATTTAAGTGTGGTTTACGTTTGCTCTTGTGTTTTTTAATTAATTGTCTGTTGAAGCTGTAATGCTTCAAGGGGGCCGGAATGTTCGGTATTCATATTTTTAGAGTATTTAGAAATTAATCATTATGTTAATTAAGTCACTGGTTAATTAATCATGCTAATGTGTATATAAATCACCACATTTATTGTAATATTATTTAGTCTCAGTAACAATTTATTGTAAATAGACTCCCGCTTTCAATATTCAAATGAGATTGCTAAGCCTGCTCGAATTTCCCGCCACAGTAAGGCCTATTTTCCTGTACTACATACCCATGAATCACCTGACGCCGTGTTTGCTTCAATCGCATTTCCTATTGGCCATCGAATTCCTAGACCCCTCTAAACCGCAATTGCATTTTTCAAAGTGTGAAGTCCACGATCGGCGTCTGTCTGTCCACGGTCGGCGTCCATAACTCACGGTGTATTCCGTTTCTCGTATCTCGGGACATTAATTGCCCATTTTACCTCTCTTAAACGTATTTTTAGGCTATAGATTAATTATATCTGGCCTCCCTCTCCTCTATAGTACATTTAACTATATATACATTTTAATTTCCCCCTTTTGTTTGTGATTAAATTACTTAAATTGTGATCTAGTGCTTTCAGACTCTTCAAACCTCAAGACAGTGTGTGCGCGTCCGTGTATTACTTCTAGACTTTCCGTACGTTTTCACCGTGACTTCCGCGTATTAGTGAGCTCTTTGTGATTATGAACTTGGGTGCGTTGCGTACTCCAAAATTCTACAAAACAGAAGCACTCGGTCTAAGGACTCCGCCATCCGCCATCGCTCCACCATAGACGACGCCGCTGCCATACTCTCCACCTTTGGACAATTGGACTCAAGGTACAACCTTAAAGTTTTGTGTGTGTTTTAATTAGACTCTAAAACTAATCTCATTTGCCCCTCACAAGACATTTTATTCCATCTCGGGACCTCAGTGCCCTTCAAATTGCAGATTCGCCATTTTCTCTAATTTAATTATTTTTCTCTTGAACTATTAATTAGTTCTGGTCCTTCGAGTTATTAATTATTTTCATTTTCACCCATTACGCCCCTAACACAACTGGTTTTTGCACTTGGGTATCTTTCCCCACTGCCTGAAGACAAGTTTAGTTACACCTATCTTCAAGAATGGTAATTCTTCAGACATAAAAAAACTACAGACCAATTTCCATACAATCATCGCTCGCCAAAGTTTTTGAATCCCTGGTACTCACTAGATTAAATTTTTTTATTAAGAACCAATTATCAACAGCCCAGCATGGCTTCTATAGCGGTAGATCAGCTGCATCTAACCTGGTTACCTTTCAAGATGATATAATATCAGCCTTCAACAGAAGTCATCAAGTAGACAGCATTTACCTGGACATGTCGAAGGCTTTTGACGGATTGAGTCATGAACATCTACTGGCTAAGCTCAGCGTTTTGGGTGTTACTGGTGCCATATGCTAAGTTGGTTCAGAGGCTATGTCAGTAATCGTCACCAGGTTGTCAGATACAATGGACATCCACCGCGTTTCCTGTTCTTTCTGGAGTCCCCCAGGGCTCGTTATTGGGTCCTATGCTTTTTTCCATACCCTATTTGTGAATGACCTGGTCTCAGTAATCACAAATTGTAAAATATTACTCTTCGCAGATGACGCTAAAATATACAAGGAAATTTTGTCGGAGCATGATTGTGATATGCTTCAAGCCGACCGAGAAGATATTGCTCTACACGCGTACCACAGCACACAGCACTATGCCACGCCTCCCTCGCCTTGGATACTGTCTTCCTGACCACCTGGACTTCTTCTCCATGTCCGATGAAGTCTTTAGAAATGGGCTGAAGAGTTTCTACGCTTAGCTGCTGTTGAGATTATTATACTGTTACTTGCTTTTTGTTCCTTTATCATTGTAGTTGTTTAAGTGAGTTATTTTACTGTTACATGTTTTTTTGATTCTTTATCTTTGTTAGCTAATTACCAGATTTGTTGTTCCCCGTGTTGATTGTTTATTATTGTTGTTATTTATTGATATATTTTTGATACATTCTTATATATTAGGGTTTTTTAGTCAGGTCATCTTCATGTTATGTATGACACGTATCATGTAAGTCTAAAAGTAACGTCTTGCCGTCATTCTATGTATATGAAAATGGAGTTTTCCGTCTGTAAATCTATACTATTATAAAAAAGAGGTGGTTGCTTTATGTGTGTATGTGTGTATGGGAAAAGTAAACTCGAAAAATACTGGTCGGATTGGGCTGAAATTTGGCATGATGATAGCTCACATTCCCGATTAACATATAGGCATATTCTTATTTCAAAAATCCTTTCGGGCTCCGCCCCAGTGGCTCTGGAGTTTCCCATGTTAACCTTATGAGAAATGGAATTATTGAATCTTAACAGATGTTTCAATTAAACAAGTTGGTTCTGTTCTATGATGTTCAATAGCATTAAAGTTACAAGGATTACCAACAGGGTGCAGCACTATTATTTCTTTTACATTTATGACAACAGCTAATTTGCAACCAAAAGGTGAGTGAGCGTAGCGAACGAACTTCAACCTGGAGGCGAGTTAGCGTAGCGAACGAGCTAACCTGAAGGCAAGTGAGCGCAGCGAACGAGCTCCAACCTAAAGGTGAGTGAGCGTAGCGAACGAGCTCCAACCTAAAGGTGAGTGAGCGTAGCGAACAAACTTCAACCAGGACGTGATTGAGCCATGCGAACGAGATCATCTTGAAAATTAAGAAGTTAAACGGGGCAAAGCCCGCGGGTTACAGCTAGTAAATAAATAAATAAATCGGCCACCTCTACTTCTTTTGCTTTTTAGTGTCAGGTTGTCGGGACACAGATGGCACCTTGACGAACCCCTTCCATCAATTTATTTTATTTTATTTTGCATGCTACAAAACAGAATACAAATCCCATTTACATTGCAGCACTATTCTAGTTTGTACAAAAATTGAGAACATGCTATGAGTTCATAAAATTGAATAAAGTGAATCGTTCATAGACTAAGAATAATAAATATTAATTATTAAATAACAACAACAATAAATAATAGTAGCAATAAGTAACAATAAATAAGAGTGACTAAGAATGACGCAAATAAATAAGATAAATAAATAAGATAAGAAACAAAACATGAGACACAAGATAACTGATAACTGATGAAAGTGAAAGAAATTGAAATTAATAACATTAACCATTACTTTACTAATTAAATTAATTAATTAATTATTTTCATTCATAGCTCATATTAAATTACAACAGATCAAATACCTTGGAGACATAGTTTATGGTGTTAGTGGTTGTGTACGCCGTTATTATAACAAATTAAATGGTACTTTACATTGATTCATCCTCCGTAAGGCTCAGTAATTGACGTTGAGCACTGTCACCTCATCGAAATCTGAAGCAGGGCCACTTAAGGAAATGGAACCGGTCCAGGGGTTTTAGATTTGTTGGGGGTGCAGGTAAGAGAACAAAAAATTCCTCGCAAAGAATGGGGAGCAAATATCTCTGGAGACTGATATGAAGCTTGTTTTGATGCAGGCTTTTTAGTTTTGTGACACGACTACAGATGGTATATTTATTTTTGAAAACAGTTCTTATATTGTATTTGGAATTCACCCGTCTCAATTTTTCAGAAACCCGTTAATGAGCAACAAAATACAAAAGACATTGTCTACAAAATCCCGTGTTCTTGTGGCAGAAATTATGTGGGCCATACTTCAAGGCCAGTTAAAGTTCGAATAAATGACAACATAAAAAAAGTCAAAAACAAGGATAAGTATGGCTCTAAGATATGTGAGCACGTTGTAGAAACGAATCATATTGTTGATTGGGGTTCGTCTGCAATTCTATACAAGGAGTCTGATTGGAGGAAACGAAATACGGCAGAGTCGCTTTTCATGGCAATAGAAGACGAGCCACTCTCACGACCATCGGTGGATGTCAGTACGGTGTACTTAAACATTGTTAAAAACGAACTAGAACAACTACGAGATAAGGCCAGGAGCGTGAATGGCTTATCAACAATGGACAATGCACCTACCCCTGCCCCCGCCCGTCCTTCTCCAAGCTCAGCTGATCCGGCACTCGTGGTTAGACGTTCGACCCGCGTGCGGGCTAAAAATAGTATATTTCTACCCTGAAGAAGCGGAACGTTTTTTTGAGTTCCCCGAAACGTCGGACTTTGATGCCGTGGACGATTTTGTGTTTTATATATGTGTGTTTTGACGAGTCCCGGACATCACAGACAAAAATAAAGGTGAGTGAAGCCCACAATAATCTACGTGAATAATAACACCTAAAAGCATGTCGTTCAAAAACGATGATAGCGTAAAAAAAATATATATTTAAAATTATTGAAAGCTTATACAGTAATTATTTTCTCGCTAACTCGAGAATTCCGTACATATTATTTTAAGGAAAGAACACTTTATGTGTTGTAATTCGTGTGTTGAACATAGAATACACTCCAAACACAGTACTATTCATTGTTTTATGGGAATTATATAGGTAGATAAACGGCATTTTGACTTTAAATTTTTAATTAAAAATAACATTTTTAATAACTCAATTATTATCATTGATATGGGATTTTTCATTGTAAAATCTTTCAAGCGGATGCGGTTTGTAATACAATGCCGTTTAAAACACGTTTCTATCGTGTCTAGTTCACGAGATATGAGCGATGTTCTAGAACTCGCCTCAGCACTACTTCCCCCCTCCCACCTTGTCATCTCCAAGATGCCCCCAAAAAAAATCAAAAGTCAAAATGCGTTACACTTTAAGTACATACCCAATTTTTACAAGTCTACACGCTGATTTCTGCGGCGTCACCGTGCCGCTTCAACGGAAACCTCGCATAACCTTGTAATATTTCCATATAATTACTATATAAAGTCACTTTAGTGTGTTAACCCTCCGAGTGTTATTTGTCGATGCGTCGACACATAACACACTTTGTGTAGTGTTTTGTGTCGATGCATCGACTCACAAACACTGTTTACGGCGAAGGCTCTATGACTGACAAAATCGGATTGAACTGGATCGAGTTAGGTATCGCTATATTTGTCAGATTCAGAGCTTTCTCCGGAGGTCTGTCTCTAAGCGCTTTTCATTTTAGTTCCGAAAATATTGTAGCAGACAGCTGACGTGCGTATTTGATTTGTAAACAGCTTGGTTAACCTCGCACCGATGACTGATGTGTTTTATTACGTTTATCATTGTTTTAGTGTTAAAATCAAAAGTAGTGATATACATGGTGCATTATAAGAAGATTTATGTGATTTTGAAGGGATGGTTGTTGATCCTGAAGAAGTAGGTAGTGATATTGATGTAAATTATCAGCCAGATTCCTAGCTATGGTTAGGCTATGCATTCTTAGCTAAACGCTATGTACTGAAATCTGTTTCTTGCCCATAACTTATTTATTTGCAAATCTACTTCCTTATATTATTATATATTTGTAATCCTCACAAAATTTAGAACAAAGTGGCTATTTTCAAATATTTATAGGCCTATAATTTATACAATTTCATTGAGCGCGAACTTATTTTTTTTTTTTAATTTTCCAAAATATATTTTTTTTACCTAAAAAATTTTGTTGAAACAAATGTTCCTTATGTTTTATAGATAATTTTGAAGCCCATGATTTTCCAAACAAAATGGTATATAGAACAGTATAATTAACATTGTTTTCAAGCTTCTCAGATCCGTTTTAATAAAACCTTGCAAATGAGCAAAAAATAGGCAGACAAAATAGGCCAAAACAAGGGACACTCAGAGGGTTAAACATATTATGCACGATGAAAAACTGTACTGTTTGTTGTTTTAAAGGGGTTTTACGGGATAGTTTAACGTCATTTAGGGGTTTAAATTTAAATTTTTAAATAAATTGTAAAATAACTCAACTGATATCATAGATACGGGACTTTTCCTTGATATTGTTTTAAAGCAGATGAAGATAATACAATGCCGTTTAGAACTTGTTTCTATCGTGTCTAGTTCACGAGATATGAGCAATTTTCTACAACGCATCTCAGAGCACCTTCCCCCCCCCCCCCCCAAGTTGTGCACCTGCTGGGAGGGCGAAAAAATCGGTTTTTGTCATCTCCAAGATGCCCCCAACAACAATCAAAAGTCAAAAAGAGTTACACTTTCAGTGCATACTCAACCCCCTATAGATGCTGGTCGCTGGACTATGTCTTTTGATTGGCTGACCCCAACCGCACAGACTCTCGTGTTCCAGACTGTAGCTGTTTATTGCTGTCTCAAAGTAATAACAATGAAATTGGGTAGTTCAATAAAATAGATGTTTCATAAAATTAGTTTATTACAAAAATAGTAATACAAAAGTAATACATATTGTATGCATAGTTTCTAACCTCAATTCACAATAAGAATCTGTGAAATTGTTCCTGCTCAGGTCTCTTATTGGGAATTCCACTCTATTTGTGAGTTTCTGACATGTCTCCCCAACCAATCCAAACCTGCCAACAATAAAAAAATGGTTAGAATTAGGGATGGACGAGACTGGATTTTAAGTTCGAGGCGAGATTCATTTTTCTCATCATAATTCAGATGGTTTTATATAGTATACGGTACATTGCAAAATTGACGGTCAAATAAGTAATCCAAATGTTAATATTGCGTACTGGCTTACGCTTAGTGATAAATCTCGATAAGCTATATTGAAGTAAACAAAAATCAGCTGTAAATGGCTTCTTATGATATTCTTATGGAAAAGATTTTCCGTTCACTATTTTTCCCGCCGTCACGGGATATATATACCTTTAATTTGAGCCCTCTCCCGTCGTTCTACGACTTCTCAGTCGCCTACAATTTCGACAAAAAGAATCACCTTACGTAATCTATATAAATAAAAATAGATACATCCATTGAATGAAAAATGTTATACTATTAAGTACTTAAAATGAGGACGGATTAGCAAATAAATACTTAAATAATATGGTCTAAACTATGAACCCACTGAACGTTTATATATGCCTATTTTGATAGAGTGTGTAAAGTCAATCACAGCTTTAGGAGGAATACCACCACATAAGTTTACACAAAGAGTAGTTTCTATTTTATGTTGATCAGAAACGAAACTAGGGTTTAGATTGGTCAGCCTTTACACTAATTTAGTTGCACCTTTACAAAAGGAGTAGAGCTAACTTATAAGATTATGAATAATAACTGGGCCAGGGTACTAATATGAGTACATATATTATTGTAGCACTGTGTCAACTGTGACACATAGATAATTTTATTCTGAGTTTGTTTAAATATTACAATAATTTATTTTACATTTGAGCTTTTTAGGGACTTATGTCCCTACAAGCCACTAGTTGTATTTTATTTATGTAAAAATCCAGATTATGAAATAATACCCATTTATAGAATTGCAGTGTTTTTTACAGGCTTGTCATTTAATATTTTACTATAGCCTATCGGATTAACCACAGTTAATAACTACAAAGCTAATGTCAATTACCTGTTAAGCTGTACTATCAGGATTTTAGGAATTTCCGTGATTTTGGTCATCTGGGTTGCCCCCACATGTTCGCATTGGGGGCAGACCCTTTCTCTTATTTCTTGGTCTTTAAACAAAAGCCGGAAACATTCCTACAATGTTACAAACATTATTACTCTAGGTGTTGCAGTTGTAGTCCAATAACCACAATAATTAACAGTGCCAATCGGTATTAGTGTATTTACCACAGTTATTGGCATGCTATTCACCAGTTATTGGCAGTGCCAATAGCTAAATCACTACGTATTTCAGACACAGTTGTTGTCACCCTCATATATTGGGTATTTTTTTAATATATAGGTAAATGGGTTATGGGAATAGACAAATCAGTCCTTCCTAATACTAATGTAATGATGAAAACGTAATTTTTATCGTTCAGTTTGAATAGGAAACAATAAACAGTCCGTCAAGTCCTTGTCAGATTCTTAAGGAAATGTGAAGAATCAATAAAAATCTGCTAAACCTTTGAACAAAATTTTCTGTGCAGGTTAGCATTGCCTCTAAAATAACCAAACACACACTGAAGTACAGAGAACTCATGTGGGCATTTCAGCAACTAACTCCCCTCTTCCACCGACTTTTGAATTAAGTTGTACAAGGCTTTGAAAAAAAAGGTGCCAATAACTATGGTAGTGCCAATAACTCTAGCTCTTACCCTAATAATGTTCTATTTGACATTAGATGTAGTCATGAAGTATTGTGATACCTGTAATTTGTATGTATCCCCAGGACTACTATCCCCAGGAGGAAGGGGGGTTGAAAGGAGAGAGCAGCGTTCGGTGTTAGTTGATGTGTACTGACAATAGTTGCAAACGGTTTAACGCTGCATCTCGCCGTAGAAGTCCTGTATTATTGTAGTACTATTCATCTGTTGAAAATGTCAAGATTGTATTGGGTTGTATTTAAAAATCATTACCGGAACCGTAACTCCTAGTGTTGTAATACAATTTAAACAACAAAAATGATGGTTGTATTTCAAATATAAAATCTAGAATTTGCTAAGTTTTACTAGAGTAAATATCTATTAAATATTTACTGGTATTGGAGATTTTTAGCGAATTTCCCATATAGGGATTAAGCTATTTCCGTAGGTCTCATGGTAAGACTTGGACCCAGGACCGGTTTACTTTTTCATTTTGATGTCGCTAGAAGCCAAAAACACCATCATCCGTTCAAATCCATATCTAATATATATATTTGAATTTGAACGAATGGTGTTTTTGGCCTCTAGGAACATCAAAACGAAAAAGTAAATCGGCCCCGTGTCCAGGTCTTACCATGGGACCTACGGTAATAGCTTATTCCCTTTATGTGAAATTCGCTAAAGTGAACAAATTTATCATGAAGCTATATATTGTACTTTCAGTTTTTACAAGTTTATGATCAAAATTCTCCACGATACCTTTCATTTTTAATAACATTAGTATTTATTTACAAAAACTTACATATGTAGCATAAAATCTTGACATACTTTGCTTTATTTAGAAATTTAAGTGAAAATCTACACAGTACCATTTTCTTTTTGTTTTATAATTGTAGCCTACTAGAGATTATGTATAACAAAACTCGTTAAAACATAACATAATGTAATGAATTTTACCTCGCACATTTCTTCATTATTTAATATATTAAGAAAGGACGCCAGGAACTCTGCTGTATCTTGCTGCTCGTCCATATTGATGTAAGGATTTTTTTTTGCAAATTTTTCCTGGAAACACGACACAACATTTACATCATAACTCACCAAACTTATTACACACAGATAAAGGATTAGAATTTGTATACAAAGAATTTCATGAGGTTTTGAAGAAATATGTTAAATAGTATCATACCTGTAAATGAAGAAAAATCAAGTATTATTGAAAGCCTAGAGCACCTATTGCTTGAATTCGAGCAATTGCAAAGTATTCCAAGCGTTATTTCAAAACTAATAACAGTCATAATTTCCGATTACTTAAAACAGTCAACTAAAAAATAATGTAATCACTCCACTATAGTTATCAAAACTGAAAACGAACTTAGGCCTACTCTGAAGTACTCCGATCATGCTGGTTCGCGAACTCGTTCGAATAAATGTAGGTTTACACGTTTATACAAAATTTCATCAAAATCGGATCACTTTTGCTCGAGTTATCGTGCTAACGGACACACACATATATATATAAATATCCTTATATATAATACGTGAAGGCGATTTCTTGAAAACAATACTCCTCCGTTAATAATGGACGGATTTTTACAAACGACGTGTCAAAATAAAATATTTTTTGTGTAGACACCCCCTTTCACCAATTCATGTAGTAAAAATCCTCGGGCTTTGCCCCACAGGCCATCAAAGTTGGAGTTTCTCCCATAAGATTAACATGGGGGAATCTAAATATTTGATTGGAAACTTTGTCCCCACTAATTTGAGAGAACGGTTGGGCGTAGAAACTTGGTAGAGGTGTCCAAAGAAAGGTCTTGGTCTGTAGATGAGTTATGAAAAGAAAAACTAAGCAAAATCCCTTAGGACTCTGCCCCAGAAGCCTTTAAAGATCCCTCCACAGAGTTGTTTACATTTTGGCCATGAGAATAATACTTTTTAATGAAACAGCTGTTCATTTTTAAATTGTATTTCAAACAACACATATTTATTGGGAGTTAAATTCTACCAAATAAGTATTTGCAATGTTATTTTCTGATTTTAAAATTGATTTTCTTCTTTATCATGCCATGTTTTGCAATATAACGTTCCATTACGAAATCAGTGGAAAATCCTTTTATCACAGCAATTCTTAAATTATATCTTATTGAACTATCTTATATCTATTGTACAGGTTGGTATGTGCCTTTTTCGCCACTTTTGCCTACATTTTATCATATTATTCTACAAAATATCAAATATTTATGTAGAAATATCTGCTCTTATTGTGTCTAATAAAATCCAAACTTAGAAACATTGCCCAAAATGGTACCTATCTTGACAAATAATTTGCACCTGCCTATATTACGGACTTTGGCGCACTAAATTAGTAACATTATTGAAAATAACACGACATTTTGGCTGTAAAATATGGTACAAAGAGAAAATACTATTTAAGCAGCTACTGTCATGACAGAAAGGTCATATTCCTTTTAAACTAGATCACATAATCCTTTGACTGGGACGGGTGGCGTCGTCCTGTAATCCAGCTACTAGGAGGTCACGAATTGTGGATATTTATAGGAATGCACTGTGGATGCGATACTCCCTGGTGTGGATTAACGTCCGCACGAGTGAGTACTACGACTACCCGCAGTGCTATCCTGATAATTATACCAATTCATAAATACCAATGCAAAAAAAAATTGGTTCCAATTCAACTATAAACAGTAGATCCCTTGGTTGCCATTCGCTGTATGGGCTATTAATTAACAGCTGTATCTAAGGAATGTCGGCCTTAGTAACTAACAAGACTTCAAGATCGCGCCACTCTTCCTACACTCATCTCCATTCATACTTGGCTTACCTACTATGAATGGTCGCCATAAAAAAAACGTATTAAAGGATTAAATTATTTATCATATACGTTGATTAACAATATGTAAACGTCAATATATACGTAACAGCCATTTTACAGTATTTTTGCTTTTTGGAAATGTTCAATTGCTATGTCATTTGCATTATTTATTGCCAATGAAGCCGCCAAGATCATATGAACTAGGAGGCCCCTAACAGTTCAAGAATAAAAGCCAACTTTACTTCATGTATTCCACTACTCCTAACATTCCGTAGAGAGATTATATTGACAACTTTATGTTATTGATAAGGCCGAGAGAGACAACTAACTGACATCCCCATGTCAAGGAATTCCAGCTTTATCAGTAACCCCACAGTCAATTTCTCAAAACTATGCTAGAGGGTTCATTCATTGGCACAGAAGTACGATATGAACTGACGCGACGTGACGAAGGAAAATCAAACTTACACTGTAACGGATATACCTCCCTTTGAAGTTAGAACGTGTCTTCTCAACAAACATATATTTTTTCTCAAACACTGATGAAATCACGGAAGTGTTTAGCTACAAAAGATCCACCAATATGATTTAAATACTATTTAAAGGTTCTACCAAAGGAAGAGATACCATATAACATACTAATAATAACTCCGATGACGTACAGGATAGGAAATATTTTAATCATTGAATGAACAACCAAATTTGGCAACTAACGCAATATTGTTATTGTTTTTACACTTACTCTTTGAACAATGTTAAATGCTCAAAATATGTATATTTCACCCAATTCATCGCAGTTAGATGAATTAACGTAAGCCTTGAAAGTAACCATCGATTTCGACGGGTTTCCCCTAGTATATATATACTAGCTGACCCGGCGAACTTCGTATCGCCTAAGTTATAGGTTTCCCCTAAGACAGACCGATGGAAAGAAAGTACCGTTACGTTTAATTTTCAAGATGATCTCGTTCGCATCGCTCAATCACGCCCTGGTTGAAGTTCGTTCGCTACGCTCACTCACCTTTGGGTTGGAGCTCGTTCGCTACGCTAACTCGCCTCCAGGTTGAAGTTCGTTCGCTACGCTCACTCACCTTTTGGTTGCAAATTAGCTGTTGTCATAAATGTAAAAGAAATAATAGTGCTGCACCCTGTTGGTAATCCTTGTAACTTTAATGCTATTGAACATCATAGAACAGAACCAACTTGTTTAATTGAAACAGCTGTTAAGATTCATTAATTCCATTTCTCATAAGGTTAACATGGGAAACTCCAGAGCCACTGGGGCGGAGCCCTTTTAAGAATTTCGAAACGGGAAATAGTTTACGTCCGATTCGCATACCTACAGAATTTACACACCAAATTTCATAACGATCGGTGAAGTCGTTCCGGAGGAGTTTGCAGACAAACACTGTGACACGAGAATTTTATATATTAGAAGATATAGATCTTATTACTACTAGATTGTAATGTCTTTCATTCATTGATCATTGCATTTCCTATCACCTATTTCATAGATGAAACGAGATGAAATATAATTTTTTGTTAGTTAGTCTATGGTTGACGAATGGTGGCATTTAATTTTAAATTTAGATGAAATACGAAAGTTAACCAAACAATGGAAACCCTACAAAAGGAATGTTTATACACATTGTAAATTACATAATATGGTAATGTAACGGGGAGCTGCACTGTGGAACAATCACATCATCACACCGAACTGTATTCACTATTCAGTAAAATACGATAGTACAGTAAGGTAAGCCCAGCACACTTGTCTAACGCAGTTTCATGCATGCGGTTTCCTAGACTGCCTATCAAAGTCGCACGTAACTAATAAAAAACTGTGATAGACAATGAGAACTGTCAAAGTAGGATTGTTTACAGTTATGTTTATATTTTTAATTGCATGAATAATTTGTTATACTTTGGGAATTTTTTTTATAATTTATTTTTTTCTATTGTTTAGGTGAAGTGGTGAGAACATTATGGCTATGGTAGATGTTTTATACTACAGTATACCGTAAATTTTAAGAAGCAATTTTTTTCAAACTGTATCCTCCCCCATTGCAAACCTAAGTTAGAGTATAACTAACTGTAATAAGCAT